GACATTAAGTTTATAAATCCCAGAAATTCATACACAGATGTCCTTAATGACACATGGCACAGTGGGTAAAGGCGTTGGTTAGATCCAGTGACAGTGTGAGTTCAGTACCTGATTAAGTTAGTTGGACAGGTGAATTAACATGAGGTAACTGATAACTGCCATCCATTAGACATGCCATGTGGAACTAGAACAGTCTACTCCAGCGAGCGAAATAAAGGGTTCAGTTGGACATTCCAATCGGAAAAAGGTCGGAGCGTGCAACGGCCCAAACGTTGTGATAAATATGGCAACAAAGATGAGGACAATAGTGCGAACAATGTAAATAGTTACTGGTATTCATATATATATATTTATATATATATATATATATATATATATATATATATATATATGTATGTGTGTGTGTGTGTGTGTGTGTGTGTGTGTGTGTGTGTTCATAATAAGTAAAATATAAAGAGGAAATATATCCATATAATTGTCGGACTTAGTCCAGTTCATAATATATTATGTCATTTGTTTACTTTCGAGTAGATATGAACGTTCGAGAGAAATCATGGGAAGTTTGTAATTTTGCTAATCAGACTCTTCCTCTGTAGCTAAATGGTATAGCTCGTCAGGCTATATAACGGTTTCTGTAGGAGGCTATATTTTCTTTGAGATTTCTTGCACATTCATTTATTATAAACAGAGCATTTACCTAAATATTTGTATCTATAAAGATAACGTATAAACACACACACACACACACATACATACATATATATATATATATATATATATATATATATATATATATATATATATATATATATAAAGTTTCATTAAAAACGACTGACACTTTACAGTAGTTAATTTTTCTTGTATTCTTATAATTTTCTTCTTTTCGGGATATAGATTGTATAGAAATTTTCCGAACGTTCTGCATATCCCATCGATTTCTTCTATACTTTTAGCCAATATCAAGGATGATTTTATTTTGAGATTTCACTGAATGTATAGATTTTTTAATGTCAGTATCTAGAGTTATAGAAATGTTTTATATTCTAAATACGGTCAGCTCATTGAGGCTTGTTAATAATTTATGCTATTGAGTGTCGGCTTTTTCTTTTTTTTATTAATAATGCTTCTTCTTGTTGATGAGGCTATTAGATTTGTATTATCAAGCTGTGTCTCCTGTAGAACTAAATTTCAGTCGCTTCACGTACTTCATCCGTGAGGAGATTGTCCATCATTCACTGCCATAGGCAAAAAGAAAAAAAAAGAAAAAGAAAAATGGCACGTTTCCTTCCAAGGAACTTCTTAGATAAAATTACGGTTTTATTAATGTAATAAAAGAAATTAATCGCAGTGGGGATCATCGAAACAATACGAACAACCCTTTCCTCAGCTGCACAATATATGCCTCACCAGTTTTGAATTTAGAGTTTCCCTTGTTCTAGATCGGTTATAGAAACCAGTGTGCCCTACATTTTATACACAGCTGGCGTTAAAAGAGTTGAATTCATACATTTTCCAACAATTTTAACATGTAAGTGAAAGTAATGAATTCATTCTCAATTCGAATTCGGGTTTTCAATTATCCAATTTGGACCGCTATTTATTACTCCATTTCCTTTATTAATACGTCTTATCCTATATATGTAAAAAAACTAGAATAAAATAATGCATATTTTCTACATGGTAACGTTAAAATATGAGGTCACTCAATATTTTAATTTAAATTTTGACGTCCAATGAATATAAGTTTTAAAATTAGCCAATCTCCTTCAACATTCTTATCAATCCCATGTTTAGCGGTGGTATTTTTAATTATCTTACATATTCCTGCGTATGATCATAAACTGTATTCGACAGCAAGGCGGAGGTTTTGAGGATCTTAATTACAGTTTTTCCCACGTCTAGCCTGACACGGGGCGGTTGCACTTGTTAGGGGCAAATAGTGAACCCCTAAAGTGGCTTCAAAAACATGAAAATAAAAAATGAATTTAAAAAAATTGCGAGGAATACATTTTCATAGTAAGAAAAAGAAAACATATTTACCAGCAATTAATTTTTTGAAAAAAGGCCGATAAGGAATCGATATGCTGTTAAACAAAAAACGAACTAAACCATCCTACATTATACATTCTAAAAAAGGCAGGATGTGTGTGCATGTGTGTGCAACGATTGCACGGCCGCAATTTTCGACGTATTTGCACCAAAATTTACATGCACATGCTCCAATTTAGAGGGAAGGTCAAGACCGACTTTGCAATTTTTCATGCGTCTACGGCAGTTGTCATATAGTTTGCGGCCATTTTCTACTGGCCAGAGTGAGAGCCTATAGCTGGCGGCCACGAATAGGCAGGAAGATTCTGTTGGCCAGAGTGAGAACCAACAGCTGACTGACACGAATGTCAAATAGTATGCTAGCATGCAAAAAAAATCGATAGCTGCATTCGTCACAAGTAGGAAAAATTAAATCTGCGTGGCACTTTACTCCAATTGGCTCATTCGCTTACTTTTGATTCTGATTCCGCAGAACTGGGTTGGATGTGAAAAAGTATTTGTTGATAACATTCTTTTTTCATTCGGTTTTTCCAGTTACGAGTCTTTTTTTAAATCTGATTGTTTTGTGTTTATTTTGTTTAGTTCTTTTTTCGTAATAGATTTAATGTTTAGTATAGAGCTTAGAAAAAATTCGCAGTGTGAGATAGGCAAGAAGTAAGGCATGTAGCAACATCAGCACGGAAAAGAGCACTCCTTTAAAGGCAAGGAAGGGCAAAAATATTTTAAGTCAAGTGATAGCGATTGCTGTATGAGTCGTACGATTTTTGAATCAAGCACGGGCAACGCCGGGCCATGCTCCTAGTATATTATATGACACTAAACATAAATTTATGTCCATGATAATAAGAGGGATATTTTGGAAAATAATACCCTCAATATCGTTCGTTGGATTTGATTTGACCATAATTTCTAATTAATGTATGCGTGAAAATTAGAAATTAATTTATATTGAAAAATTATTGGGAGTGCACTGATTATGGAATCGTTTACAGCAAATTTACTTGCAAGTTTTCATCATGCCTTGGTAGGGAAAGGTACCTTTTATCAATTACCATCTGCTGCTATTCTAGGTAAAGATGCGGGGGAATGAAATAAAAATAATAAATAAAATAATAATAACAAACAAAAAACAAATATTTTTTCCATGTTGCCAGTTATAAAGAAACCAGACCACACTTCCGGAAAGGACAAAATCTTTTCTTTTTTTTTCCTCTTGGCTTCAATATATGAACGACGCAGTAATGGCGTTCTCACAGGGTAATGTTAGTTTTCCGGTTCACTGGCGATTGAAATTTTTCCAACCAGATTATTCGGATGTTTTTCATCAGCCCTAATCATAGAGCAGAGGTTTGGTCTTCCTGACAAGCTCGACCATCTTCACCTCTTCTTATACTTACTTCCCATAAACAATTTCTGAAACAAAAACGGAAAACGGACATACTCAAGAGATATTTAACTATATATATCAATATAGTCAACATAAAAGGAATAAACGTCCCTGGCGCAAACTCAAGATTTTTCGTATGTTTCTTCTTTGTTTATATATTGAACATGCAACATCACCTAAAAATACACACAACCCCTCCAATATAGTTAACATCCACAGAGAAATAAACTGAAAATAAACTTGTGGAAAAGGCAACGGAAAACTAATCCATTGATTTCCCAAGAGGTCATGGCAGTTCACAAATAATAAAAAAAATGGATGCTAAACTGAGCAATGATCACTCATGTCCGCAAATGTCCTTCCCTAAATATAGAGAATGTGTCCCCAAAATTGACATAATGTAAAATATGAATATCTGGGAATCCCCAGTGCGGATTTATTTAAGTGAGAATCTACCAGGAAGATGGTACGGGTGTGCCAGTGATAATGGCTATGTGCTGTTGAAATGGCCATTACGTTCACTCTGTGAAATTTGGGGGTATGTGAAAGGACAGGTCTATATAAGCCCTCTTCTTATAAGCCTAGAGAAACTTAAGCAGAAAATCACTGATGCGTAGGTGTATGTTTCGCAAGACATGCTACAACGTGTTTGGCAAGAGCTGGGCTACCGACTTTACGTGTATCGTGTCACAGGTGGTGCGTATATTGAACATTTGTTAATCTTTGTGAAATCGGTTATAAAATCTAAATTTCTTTGAATTTGTTCCAATTTTGATAAACAAATATTTTATTGTTCAACACGAAGCTTAATTAATTTCATATTCCTAGCGCATGTACTTACTCAGATATTCACATTTTAAATTATGCCAATTTTGTGGGAGGCTCTGTGTATGCAATATACCTGTTTACTGGTTCATATATTGATGTTTATTCACGTATGCACTTGTAATAAAGTAACAACTCTAATTAGAAGTCTAAAAAGCTTTATTTGACTCATCCAGTTTTAGTGCTGGAAAAAATTTAATTTCTGAAGGACAGTTAAAAGCGAGAGGGGAGATGGGATGTGCTTATTTTATTGCCACAAGAATAACGTCGAAATGTAAATCATTCACGACACAGGGAATTAGTTTGAAACGTTCTCTTCGCGCATGTACGGAAGGACCATTAATTGATTCCGTTTCGCTTCCGCATACAGCTGGAAGCAGTCCGTCATATATCCATTTAGATATAGATACTAAAACCTTCTCATTCCCGTTCTTTGGATAGAAAAGTTTGCAATTGCTTTCCTTGTTGAATACTGCCTCCATTATACACAAGGCTGATACCCGCCCTTCCGAATTCTCCGACGAACATATTCTTAAAACGATCAATTGATGCACGCAACACGAACGAAACCACGCACAAAGTTATCGCCCTTGCCAACTCAACCTGTGATTCTCACGAAGTGATATGTTTTGTTTCGTGAGGTGGGAAGGCTGGAAGGGAAGGTTTCATTGTCACTTTGTGTCAAGTCGAGGTGACTCTGCGCACCTCGCATAAACGAAATAACAATTGTCATGCAATGTTAATGATTGCGCCCGTGAAGAAGTTTTCTCCCTCCACCCTCCAAAAGTGTTGTGGACAACGTGACGGGGGGGGGGGAGAAACAGAAGAAAAATGGGTCCGGGGAAAAAAAGCAGTTAAGAAAGTGAGAAAAGATGAAAGAAAGAATGTATCCGAAAAACAAGCAGGAAGTTACTGAATTCCACAAAAAGAAAGAATTAAAAAAATAAAAGAAATAAAAGCTGAAAAAAGAACCCAACGAAGGGACATAGGATTTAAAGCAAGAAAAAAAAGGGAAAAAAATAAAGAGGAGGGGTAAACAAAGAAAATCTAAAGGCCTGAATATAAGAAAAAGAAATGATAATGAAAAGAAAAATAAATAAAATTAGAAGAAGGTGAAGAATAAGAAAAAAGGGTGAAAAAGCGGGAATGTTAAAATATTAAGAAGATAAAGCTGAGAAGAAGAAAAACTATACAAAGACGAAAGAAGAAATAGAAGGAGAAAAGTGAATAAGGAATACGAAGAAAAAAGAAAGAGAAAAAGAGATAATCTATACGAAGAAGAAGAGGAGAAAGAAAAAAGAGGAAGAGAAAAGTGGATAATTTATACAAAGAAGAAGAAGAGGAAGAAAAAAGAGGAGGAGAAAAGTGGATAATCTATATGATGAAGAAAAAAAGAGAAAGACGAAAGAGGATGTAAAAAGGGGATAATTTATATGAAGAAGAAGAAGAAAAAGAAGAAAAAGAAGAAGAAGCCAAAAGTGGATCATCTCTGGGAAGAAGAGGAGGAAAGAGAAAGAGAAAAGTGGATAGTCCATATGATGAAAAATAAGAAAAGGGAAGAGAAAAGAGGATAATCTATACGAACAAGATGAGAACAAGAAGAAGAGAAAGAAGAAAGAAGGTGTGTAAAAGGATATTTTATAATAATAATAATAAGAAAAAGAAGAAGAATAAAGATATAGAAAAATGTTGATAATCGAGACGAAGAAGAAGAAAAAGAAAGAGGAGAAGAAATGTGCATTATCTAAATGAAGTAGAAGAGAGAAGAAAGAGGAAGAGAAAAGTGGGTAACCAATAAGAAGAAGAAAAAGAAGAAGGGCGAAAAATGGATGATCTATACGAAGAAGATGAAGAAGAAAGGCGAGGAGAAAAGTGGATAATATATATGAAGAAAAAGGAATAAAGAAGTGGATATAATATACGAAAAAAGAAAGAAAAAGAGAACAAGCTATAGGAAGAAAGAGTAGGAGAAAAGTGGATAATTTACCAGAAGAAAAAAAAAACAAGAAAACGACGTAATAGGAGGAGAAGTGTGAAGAATCTATACGAAGGTGATGACCAAGAAAGAGGATGAGAAAAGTTAATAATACAGTCAACGACGAAATATCCGTTCATCCACCAATTTTGAATATTTTATCCATTTTTCAGAATCTAATGCTCGTATGATGCCAGTCTTTTGTATATGTCAGTAAGAACAAAAAAGGAATGAAAAAACGATTTTCAGAATAATGGGTTAAATACAACAAATTTGTCAGGCAAATTATTCAAAATAGGAATAGACAAAATTATTTGTACAGTATGAAAAATAGAAAAACTTGAACAATTTTCACAATATTAATAGTCAACAGCATGGCCTCTAATCTTTATAATTTGCAGCAATCTTTTTCTAAAGTATTTGATGAGATTTTCTAAGATTTTCTTCCATTCTTCAATGTCTACAGTTTAAGTCCAGAAAGGTTCTTCAGTGACCGACGATTTATTCGAACTTTCAATTCTTTCCGTGGATTTTCAATAGGATTCAAGTCGGGACACATTGAAGGTCATGTAATTTTCTTTTTCTGAAGCCACGCAGTCACTGGTTTAGATGCATGTTTGGGATCATCATCTTCCTGGAAAGTAAATTGTCGACCTTGAGGAAGATTTTGCGCTGATAGATGTAGATTCTCATTTAGAATTTTAATATAGTTTGCAGATTTCATTATTCCTCTTATGACAATTTGGGATTTCAAATAGTGCTGTAACTAATTTCCAGACTTGTGAAATTTAATAATTTTCTGACTCAAGTCAACGCTAAGCACCTTTGTCTTCTCCATCATGTTGTTAACGTAAGAATAACAATGATGACACTCCCTGCATCACGTAATGTTCTTTGCTGGAATTGTCACAGATATTCTACTGAATAGTCTAGAAGGCTAATAATAATATCATTATGTAAATTACTTATAATTACACAAATCAATCAATTTAAAACGATATATTCTACTGTCTGAATAATTTTGTTTTTTCCTATTTTGCATAATTTGCCTGTTAAATTTATTGTATTGTTCTGAAAATTGAATTTTTTTTTATTCCTTTTTTATGCTTATTAACATAGAAAAACCTGGCATCATACGGGCATTAGATTCTGAGAAATGGATATAAATATTCAAAATTGATGGGTATATGAATAATTTCGTCGAAGAAAGATAGAGGTGAATGTAAATGTCGATAATCTATACGAAGAAGAAAAAGAGAAAGAAGAAAGAGTAGGAGTATAAATGTGAAAGAATAAATGAGGTGAAAAGTGGTTAATCTACACGAAGAAGAAGAAGGAGGAGGAGGAATAGGAAGAGGAGCAAGAAAAAGAGAAAAGTAGATAATGTACACGAACCAGAAAAAGAAGAGAAAGAAGACAAAAGAGGAGAAATATAGATAATGTATACAAAAAAAGGGGAAGAGAAAATTGGATGATCCATAAGAAAAAGTAAAAAGAGGAACAGAAAAGGGGACAAACTATTCGAAGAAGAAATAAAGGAGAAAGAGGAAGAGAAAATGAATAATCTATACGATGAAGAAAAGAGAAGAAAGAACAGAAAACGCAGAAGATCGGATGCCAATGAACATGAGAGAAGTAAGAAATTTTATTTAATTATAAAGGAAGGCAACAAGTTCAAAATGGAATTTCATGTGGGTGAAGGAATGCAAGTAAAACAATACATCGACTGAAGCTTCAAAATACTTAAAAAGTATAGAAAGTCAAATGCAACCGACCAGATACAGAAACGATGGCAAGATAAACCGTTTCACGCTCAATACTCTGCCCATATGAAACAAGCTGATGTAGACAAACCCCGTATCCAACAGTGGCTACATAATGCAGGATTAAAAGCTGAAACTGAAGGTTTTATTCTTGCTGCACGGGACCAATGCTTTCTAACTAGAAATTATCGAGCAGATATTCTTAAAAACTATGTTAGCCCAAAATGCAGATTCTGTGATAAGTAATTATTTACCCGCTACCCCAGGCAACAAGATGTGGCACAAGGCTGAGTTTTAAAGTGGGGTATCCGAGCCCGTAGACTCGGGCAAAAATTCCCTATGGACCACGTAAAAACGGAGTTAGTTTCCCTTTGGGGGATAGCCTCTGATATGTGCCAGGTAAGTATTCTTTGATAAGTATCTAGAAACAATTGACCATATTGTTGCACGACATTGTCACCCACTGAATATAAAACCCGGCACGACAAAATGGGCCAATATCTGCATTGGAAAATATGCAACTTTTATGGAAAGAAAACTGCAAGAAATTGGTAAGAACACGACCCACACCCGGTTACAGAGATAGGACCTGTAACGATTTTATGATACTTTACAATACACACAGATAGAACATTCAAAGCCATTCGGCTTGGAGACCGCAAAGAAATAATTTCGTTCTTATTGCCATGGCAGTCCCTGCAGACAGCAATGTATCTTTGAAGATCTTAAAAAAAGACCTATCAAAATACAAGGGCCTCGAAATCTAAATCTCAAAAATGGCACATGAGAACATCAGTTATTTCATTTGTATTTGGAGCTCTCGGATTGATTGGAAAAGTTTCCAATAAACTCATTGAAGGTATTCCTGGAACCTCAAGCCTTAAGAAATACAACAAAAAAATGTTCTTCTAATTACAGCCCACGCCATACGAAAGACTCAGAAAGAAATGCGTATATACCAGAGATTAAATGAATAATAATAATAATATTTTGGAGAGAAATCATTTTGGCATCGGACTTGTTTACAAGAGCAGCCATGAATGGATTATGATTGACGTTGCGGTGCCTTGGGATAACAACATCGTCAAAGCGGATCAGGTAAAATCGTAAATGTAGCAATTCCTGGCAGGACAAATCAGTGTATTGTATCAAACAGCGATTCTAGTTGCCCCTTTTGTGTTTGGCGCACTCGGGACAATCTCCAAGAATCTCTTTACCTCACAAGACACATTGGAGATAACAGACATTGCGCTAAAATATTATTTAGAATGAAATCCTCTCCAACACAGTGATATTTAATAATAATAATAATAATAATAATAATAATAATAAAAAGAAGAAGAAGAAGAAGAAGAAGAAAAAGAAAGAAAAGAAGAAGAAGAGTATGAAACAGAAAATAAAATTTTACGGATAATCAACTATAAAAGTGCAATTAGAAAAAACGAGGAATTGAATTGACAAAAAGCAACAACAACAACAATAATAATAATAATAATAATAATAACTGGAGTCAAATGTGTTGTTTAAGTTTGAATGATGAAGGAAGACCATAAATCAGAAAGCATATGCGCGCTTGAAGGTATTTCTAACTTGATCGTATACTTGCATGGTTATGCACGACCTATATCAAAACCTGTAATTATATCAGGACAATTTTGGGTGTGTTGCCTGGTGTTCACTTATTGGAATGGGTGTGAAGATAAGTTTATTCGCCTAAGTACATTTGTGCACAAACATCACTTGTTGACGTACCGCTTTCACATTCAATAATATTAATATTATTATTATTAACAATAATAATAATAATAATAATAATAATAACGACAACAATAAAATGAGTGGCAGATAAAAAAGGATGAGAAAGATGGAAAATAGAATATTACAGATAATATATTACAGAAATCGAATAGCAAATGAGGCGTATAATAATAATAATAATAATAATAATAACAATAATAATAATAATAATAAAACTGGAGCATGATGAAGCTTAGGGAACTGGAGCATGATGAAGCGTATAAGTACCTAGGAATTAGCGAAGAAGATGGAAAAAATAAGAAAAGAGTACTACAGGCGTGTACGTCTGGTACTAAATACTGAGCTAAACTCAAAAAACAGAATATCGGCAATCAACACATTGGCTGTCCCTGTGGTGCAATACAGCTTTAATGTCCTCAACTTGACCATAACTGAAATTAAGCGAATGGACGCCAAAACGAGAAAGCTTGTCACTTGCTATCGCATGCATCATCCCAAAGCTGATGTTGATCGTCTGTATGTGCCCAGATCCGAAGGAGGCATAGTTCAACTAGAACTGTCCTACAAAACTACAACAATTGACCTTCAAAGATACTTGGAAACTACAGAAGACTGGATGATGGTATGCGTCAAGGAACATGAAAGTAGTAAGCGTAAATGAAAGAAGCCAACAAATTCAAAATGGAGTTTTAAATGGGCGTAGAGATGCAACTACAGCACAATACACCGGCTGAAACTGCAAAACTCTTAAAAAAGACAGCAAAGACAAATGCAACCGACCAGATACAGAAGCGATGGCAAGATAAACCAGCCCGTACCAAACAAGCTGACGTAGACAAAACCCGTACCTATCAAAGGCTACGTAGTGCAGGGTTGAAAGCTGAAACTGAAGGTTGTATCCTTACTGCACAGGATCAATGCTTGCTAACTAAGAAATTATCAAGCACATATACTAAAATATTGTGTCAGCCCAAAATGCAGATTCTGTGATAAATATCCAGAAATGATTGATCATCTTGTATCAGGTTGCACGATATTGGCACCCACTGAATATAAAACCCGGCATGACTGAGTGGGCCAATATCTGCACTGGAAAATCTGCAACTTCTACGGAAAGAAAACTGAAAGAAACTGGTATGAACACCAACCAGAACCGGTTACGGAGATAGGACCTGTTACAATTCTATGGGACTACACAATACACACTGACAGAACAATCAAAGCCAACCGCCCAGATATTGTTATTAAAGACCACAAACAAAAACGGTGCCTCCTTGTTGATATGGCAGTCCCTGCTGACTGCAAGGTATCTTTGAAGATATACAAAAAGCTGTCAAAATACAAGGACCTTGAAATAGAAATCTCGAAAATGTGGCATATGGGAACATCAACAATCCCTGTTGTAGTTGGAGCCCTAGGACTGGTTGGAAAAGATTGCAGTAGACTAATTGAAGGGATTCCTGGAAGTCCATGCTTCAAAGAGATACAAAAAATTGTTCTGACAAATATAGCCCACACTTTACGAAGGGCTTTATCTATGTATTTTTTTTTTTTTTTTTGTCAGTGGAAAGTGTCATGATACCATTTCTAACCTTAGGTCCTGGGACCCGAAAGAAATGTGTAAACGCCAGAAATCAAAGAAAATAAAAATAATAATAATAATAATAATAATAATAATAATAAAGAAGAAGAAGAAGAAGAAGAAGAAGAAGAAGAAGAAGAAGAAGAAGAAGAAGAAGAAGATCAGCAAACAAAAAAAAAAGACACAAAAATATTAAAGAACAAAAAATATCATTCATTAATCAAAATACAATTTCCTTTCTTCGGCCAAATATTTGATTTTTTAATATGCATATTTCTTACGTGTTACATTTGCTTCGGATGCTAAACTTAACAACGTTTTGAATGCCCAACAGCCACCACTTAATTCAAACAGCTATATTTATTTATTCTTTGTAAATTATAACACTTCGTTCAACATCCACAATGACCTGGTAGTTACCTAAATACAATAATCCATCTAAATCTTCATTGAACGCTAACTTTTGTAAATTAAAAAACATCCCATTTAACATCTCATTTATTTTATTTTTTCCAGAGTGAAAAATCCTCACGGATTCCTGGTTCCCAAAATTGGTTGATGATCAAAACTCTGTAGTTCTTCTAAATTTTGTCTCCAGTAGATTCGTTTAAAGAATAATCGAATATGGTTCATTTATTTTTCATTCCATTTTCTAACATATAAACAGTTAAATACATGTATTTTTAGTTTTTGCATTAATAACGTAAAGAGGTTAAAAAAATATTTTATTTTGTATCTGTATGAAAAAAAAAAAAATAAATCGAATTCATTTTGATACTTTTGACATGTAGAATATTAATATACTTTGACTTATTCGATTTATACTACATCCAGCAGGAGAGCCTGTGATCAGGATATTGGAGATTTTGTGGAGACTTTACTGTTGTTCCTAGGCTCACCCTGACCCGAATCGGTAGCATCAGTCATGGTCCCAGCTATTGGCAAATAGTGAACTTACAAACAAAAAACAAAACACTATGAAAATATAAAATACATGTTTTATCGTAAAATACCAGTAATACATATTTAGATTAAAAATTACTAACAATACATATTTATAATAAAATTACCAACAACATAATTACCAATAAATGTATCTTATATATAGCTGAAGGCATGAAATTACATACAAACTATTTAGATTTCGGCATTAATTAACCCATAGAGGCTGATATGTCTTTTAACAAAATCAACTACCAACCGACCACAATTATTCGATTTATTTCAACTATTTTCTTCTTGATTATTGTAGACGTTATTATCGAACGAAGTTTCGACCAAGCACCATATAGCCATCTTCAGGTGACCATTAATTTAAATGATAGCAGTTATCTTATATATGTCAAGAATAATCATATTTCTACTGAAGCGAACATGTTAGAGTATAATAACAATTCCTCACCACAAAAAATATGCTGTACAAAGTTTGTTTTGGTTTGTTTTACGGTATATCAACCCCAATGGGTTATTTAATGCCGACAAAATTTTCATTGCTGGCACTACTTGTTTTGTCAAAAATCTATTACTGGTAATAATTCTTTTGTTACTGTAATTTTTTTTTTTTTTTTTTTTTTTGTGAAACTATTGCTGGTAATATTTTTTTACAAAGTATTTCTGGTGTTTCTGTTTTTACACTTTCATAGTGTTTTTACCCCAGTTTCGGGGTTAACTATTTGCCCATAGCTGGGACCCTAACAGGTGCTACCACCCCGGATCAGGGTGGACCTGGGAACACCAGCAATTAAGAGGTGTTCCACGCTCCTCAAAACCTCCTGATCAGAGGCCTTGTTGTTGGACGCAATTCATCGTCTTAGCCAGGACGCGGATGTAGTTTATCGTCATACCCAGAACGGGTTGTATAAGCATGCCATGATAACCAAATGGAAAAAACATCTGGCGTTGTATATATGGCATTTAAAATTATTTTATTATTATATTAAACATCAATGTCTGAAGTATTATATTTAACACACTTTGAAACTTGATGAAGTTATCGAGTCCACCCGATAGCATGATAAACGTATCCATGACAACAATATTGGCAATGGCATAATCTGATGATATATATTATATATTCTTGCCAAATTGCTCGCTTCTTGCCGTGTGTCACACGATTTTTTGTAAGAAAATTATGATTGATTTTAAATCATAATTTGTTGAGAAAAATGATGCATTTCAGTATTACTCGATGATCTTGCCGGAGTGACCTCCATCTTCTGGCTTTCTCCTGTATTTTGGATAGGATTCATTCCCTTGTTCAAATTTAAATTTAATTTAAATCAAAGGAGAAAAAAAATCAGTGAGGGGTTTGAGCAAAACAGCTTGATCTGACCTTTGTGATATGTATTTGATGCAATACTTGATTAAATGAATTCAACATTGATATGACAGTTGAATTGTTGCAACAAATATGTATTGTAAGGCACTGCCCACTGATGGTGATTTTTTACTCAATTTGACGTCCATATTGTCTCATTTTGATCTTACTGATTTGACCTTCATCTTCTGGTTTTCTCCTACCACATTTTGGATAGAAGTCATTTCCTTATCCAAATTGAAATTTAAATCAAATGGAAAAAATCAGTGGGTAGTTTGTGCTCTCCCCATCCCGGGGACCTCCTTTGATCGAAATGAAATATACTTTTCCAAGTACCCGGGATGTCATTCGTTTGTTTAAATTAAAATTTAATTTATATCAAAGGGAAAAAGAATTTAGTGTGTGTGTGGGGAGGGGGTAAATACCCCCCCACACACACCTTTGATAAACAATGTAATATACTTTATATACATTACCTGGGTAATGTAGCATCAGCATATATATTCTTATGGGGGTCTATCTCAAAAACCCTAGGAGGAGTTTGGTTTCTTTCTTTTTTAATATATATATATATATATATATATATATATATATATATATATATATATATATATATGTGTGTGTGTGTGTGTGTGTGTCACTATAGTAACTTTATGTAATAACCGTTAAAATAAAAACGGATATTAAATCTATTGTTTATTTCATTTTATTTATTTACAAGCAGGCTTCACAAAGTAAGATATATTCACTACTTGCAATCTTTGAAACAAACATTTTGAATGAACATTTCTTTTATAAATTGGCTTGTTATAGTTAAGGAAAGTTTTCCAAATAGATGCCAACTTGTTGAAAGGCAAGTAAAATGCAAATTTCACACACATTTCTGCACTATATAAGACGATATTCCTCTACTTTTTATATGAAAATCAAAACATTCCTCGAATAAAAGAACATTAATGAAGGACAGTTAATTAATGAAATAAACTTTTTAAAATCAATATGAAAATTAGTTAAACTTGAAGCGTAATATCACCTAGAAGTAGATAATATATAATTCAGATATTGAGCTTTCAGCATATACATTACTATGAAATAGGGTTGGGCTTTTTTTTACCCCCAGAATTCGTTGTATAATTGTGCTCCAATTTTGCATTTATTCACATAGATTTTCCATAATATAGGTTTTACTTAATTAGCTATTATGTTTCTCTAACTCTTCAAATGTTGATTATATAATTAGTTCTAATTTCTGTTTTCCCATATTTACACTATATTAATTTATCTTATAAATTGTCTCCTGTTCTGTCACCCATGAGAGACAGAGGTTACAATTTATATATATATATATATATATATATATATAGAGAGAGAGAGAGAGAGAGAGAAAGAAAGAGAAAGAGAGGGGGAGAGAGAGAAAGAGAGTGATAACACCTTAAGATTGCGTTCAACCGTGAAACAGAGATTCGTTGAGTATACCATGATGAAAATGGCCCCAAATTCATAAAAATAAAGTTTTACCGTTAAAATGTCTATGTTATAATTAAGAGGAAAGATCAAATGATTGTTTGATTATTAAAGTATATTATTTTTTATGATTTTCAGAACTTTCAAAATTCTGGTTAATTTTTTTTTTTTTTTTTTTTTTTTTTGTGTCAGTCGGAAGGAACCAAGGATTAGTATTGTAAATTTTAGTTTCTTTTTTTTTAGCGGTGAAAAACACAATATTTGTTCAAAAAGCAAATAATTGCAAGATTTTAATGAAATTTTAACCCCACTTATTTGATTTTATTAAGTTTAGTGGAATACCTTTTTGTACCGCTTCATGTTTGTGTAAGTTATATGCAGCCTTCATTGCAGAATTTAAATCATCAATTATTTTTTTAAAATAGAACCGCCAATTACAATCTGCTGTGAATCGTAAAATAAAACATGTAGAAAAACAAAGCCACGATATAATTAGAAAATCTTTTAATTGCTTTTATGAATAAAATATATTATGGACGCTGAACGAAAATTTATTTATAAGAATTGTTTCAATTTTTTAATTTTCATTAGAAAAAATTATAAAGGTGCAAATCTTTTAAATTTCTGTATTAATATTAAACAATATTAAATAACGATAAATGGAAAACTTACTAGAATTCAGCGACCACGAATATTTTTAAAAGAATTTAGAATTTTTATCATGCGTATCAATATATCGATTTTTTGTAAATACGGCTTTCCATACACGACTTTATTAGAAAATAAGAGTGACAACTAAAATATATTTAAAGACAAAGTAACTAAAATTCAATAAAACATTAAATTATGGAGAATATTTTCCTAAATTTTTGTGATTACTGCGTAGTTAAAAATTATGTAAAAAGTAATTTTTGTAGATATGTCCACGATAGAAAAAATAAACTTCCGTCTGTCAGTCAAACATCCAACGCCTTAAATAAACACCTAAATCTGTATTAATGTATTTCTGCTATATTTTAAACCAAAGTAAGTAATATTTGTCTCAAATTAATTAAACGTTAAATCAACTAATGTTACTCAAGTGAAATTAAAAAAATATATATTATATTTTATAAAAACTTTTTAACAAACGGAATTACATTGTGCTGAGAAATGGCTAAAAATGACGCTAAAAACAGTGATTTTTAGCGATTTCATTGCAAAAAAAGTTTCCAGTAGATTTATACAGCAAAGTATTTTGCTTATTGAAACTATTAAATTAAATCCATTAGCTTGAAATTAAAACTAAAATGAAAGTTCAAGAAAGATTTTTCATATCGTAAAAGTTATTCGCGTTCTGCAGAGGTACCTAAATATAACATACCTATAATTTCATAATTCCACACACACACACACATATATATATATATATATTGGTTGGTCCTAACTTAATGATTATTCGCTACTCATATCAAAACTTAAAACCTATCATTTATGTATATGATGTGTATATCATAAAGCTGGGTACAAGCTGAGAGCCCCTGGTATTCCCAAGCGACATCTCATATGACAATGTTCCCTTATCCTACTATAAGCAGCGTTATATTGTCGTGAACCATATAATTAATAATATATCAATAAACTTTCAAAAGATCCTTTATCTTTTTTTTTTTTTAAATTAATTATGTCATTCCATGCAAGGAGAAAATGCCACTGGTAAGGAGGGAGTTACAGGTAGTGAATGTGATAGAAAAGACTGGGTAAGGAGGAATGAGGAAAAGATAAAAGCTGAACGGATTTCAAGAATAGAGAAGATGGCATTGGCGTTGCATTAAAATCTTTGAAGATTTTAGTTATCAAGAAAGAAAAGAAACTGAAGATAGTTCCACAGGCAAGAAGTGTGAGCAAAAAATGTTGGAGTAGAAGTGGCGACTATCTTGAACTAATTCAATAGTGGGGCCTAGATGACAGTCTAGTAGCATACTTAAACTCACATAGACTGGGCACCAGAATAGTTGCCATGAAAATATTGGTAGAAAAGACAGAGGGAAGATGGTGAGAGTTCAGATGCCAAGTCAGGATCGATTAAATTGCAAATATTTCTTCGGCTTATGTCAAAGACATCGAGGTGAATAGCAGGGACACCAAACCTGTAATGGCGATAGTATTCAATGCACGGACGAATGGTAGATTTGTAAGTGTGAAAGATGGATGAGTAAAAACTTTAAGGACGACACAATGACCCAACTTTGTTGCTTGCCAGAAAAGTTGGGTCATTGTGTCACCTATTGATTCGATGAAGTCATTCCACTTCAAGAAGTCTCATTCCTGCTGCTTTCCATGAGTCTAGCATCAGCCATACTGATGGCGGCCACAGAAAATTAACGATGGTCTCGTTGAATGAGGGCAGTTTCATTTTGGAGGCAGTTATTAATATTTACATTTTATTATAATATATTAATATTAATTTATTATTGGAACTCAGAAGTCAGTCATAGGACAATTAATTTGAAATATTGATTTAATCTATACATGCATATATATGTATGTATATATATGTGTGAATGTGGCTGTGTGTGTGTGTGTGCGAGCGTGTGTGTGAGCGTGTGTCCAAATTATTTTCAGGTAGAGTGTGTCTGTAAAGGAACAAAATGAATATAAAAACAAAAGTGAAAATGATTCTGATAAAGTCCCTCAAATATAAATATATATATATATATATATATATATATATATATATATATATATATATATGAATAAAAAAGAGAAAACACTATTATTAGGCGACACGTTTCGTTCGTCATATGAGGGACTATATTAGAATCATTTACCTTTTGTTTTTATATTCAATTTGTTCCTTTCCAGACATATTTCATTGAATACGACAGACAAGGTGTTTTGCTTTAGATTTTTATCCAATTTCTCATGTGATCTAATAATTTTTTTCTTTTCGGATGATAAATTATATAAAAACTGTCCGATTGTTCTTTTAACTTTTTAACTATTTTATATTTATTTTTATTTAGATTTTATATGATCATATGAAATTGTATAAAAACTAAATCAAAGCACCTTGTTTGTCATATTCAAAGAAATGTGCATGAAAGAAGGATTGCTGCCTAAATGTACAAATTATATATATATATATATATATATATATATATATATATATGTGTGTGAAAGAGAGAGGAAGAGAGAGGGAGAAACGTTCTTTAGAGGGCGAAACGCGTTAGCTAAGATATGATTCGTTTTGTTCATATATATATATATATATATATATATATATATATATATATATATATATATATATACAGGTAAGAAGAGAACGAATAGAGTACAGGTCCACTCATAAACAGGTGTGAAAATTTTATTCAACTATTTAATTTTTTTTTTTTTTTGAGAATTTTTTAATATGTCTCTAAATAAGGCTGTCTATTCTAAATAGCAGTCAGGAAATAACACCAAATGTAAGTTGATAAATAATGTGTGTTGCAATTAATAATTCAGTTCTACGAGGAATATGGTTTTCAAGGTGATTGTTTTTAATAATTCCACACATGCACAACTGGTTAAACTTGGACGCCTGAAATTAAATATTCTAGTCGTTGTTATCTGGGAACGTGATTAAAATTCATATCTTGCGCTGCACATGAGTATTTCCAAAAAGACTATTACAAAAGAAATAAAACAATAAACTGATATTGTTTTTACTTTTTACGAGCAATGAAAACTACCACCTGTGATGAGGAATATGAACAATCTATCTATCTATCTATCTATCTATCTATCTATCTATCTATCTATCTATCTATCTATCTATTTCTGTGCATATCTATGTCTGTTTATATCTATCTATCTATGTATCTATCTATCTATCTGTCTATCTATCTATCTATCTATTTCTGTTTATATCTATGTCTGTTTATCTATCTATCTATCTATTTCTGTATATATCTATGTCTATTTATATCTATCTATCTATCTATCTATCTATGTATTTCTGTGCATATCTATGTCTGTTTATATCTATCTATCTATGTATCTATCTATTTCTGTGCATATCTATGTCTGTTTATATCTATCTATCTATCTATCTATCTATCTATTTATGTATTTCTGTGTATATCTATGTCTGTTTATATCTATCTATCTATCTATTTCTGTATATATATATATATATATATTTCTGTTTATATGTATCTATCTATCTATCTCTGTGTATATCTATGTCTGTTTATAACTATCTATCTATATATCTATACACACATACACACACACACACATACACATATATATATATATGTTCATATCTATCTATCTATGTCTGTTCATATCTATCTATCTATCTATCTATCTATGATGATTGTAACGTTTTTGGAGAAGACCATATCTTCACCTGGTAGCTTTTTGTGTTTTTCATTCAGAATTATATTATTTCCATCATATATACTCGAGCTAACGCTCAGCTATAGGTCCGCAAGTGATTCTTAAGGCCAGCTTCACTTTTACAACCTCTCTCACACACGTGGCAAACATAGTTTGTCTGTTTCACCTATGTTAGAAACTTGCCTATAACTGTGTACAAGCTTGCGATGTTTGAGGCCCGCAATCTCGGATCTTTGTTGTAGGTTTGCATTCACAGGTGTTTGCAGATGACATCTCTTGTGTGATCTCATATGATTGGCTAAACCAGCCACAGAAAGGGTGACTTTTCCCACAAATAATGCGCCTGTGTTGATGTCCTAATAGTTTTCAGACAGATTCTATTTCTCCTTTCTTAACTGCGCGCTTTTTGTTGCAAAAGTTTCACAGTCTTCGACATTAACCCCAAGCATCTTTACTTTATATTTAACTACACCCTTGAAAATTTTTTATGGCTTATGAGCGGGTATATATATATATAAAACAATCAGATAAAATAAAATATATCTGTAAAAACAGTACGAAGACAAAGAATTTAACGTTTGCTTTTTATTCATATATATATATATATATATATATATATATATATATATATATATATATATATATATAAGGAAGAACAGTAAGATATATAATCCGCTTATTGATATTTTTATTTTTACAAAATAGTGCTCAATGTAAATTTACAGAGCATTAATACTATAAATTAACTAATTTAAAATGTTTTTTCGCTACACAGTAATAACCTTGTTTCAAAAATGGAAGCTAAAAGCTTCAAATTTAATTTTGTAATTAAATTAAAAACATTACATCCATTTCATCCTCAAGCGAATTTTGGAGTAACTTATTTGTTAACATTTACTGAGTTTTAAAGGCGCAAAAAAATCGAAATTCACTGTTTCCAAGGATACAGAGAAATCCAATTATTCAGACAAGGGGTGGTAGCGTGTTCATTTTTATTAACTTTTGTTGTATCAGTTATTAGTTACGCCCGAAAAAGGGGTTATGTTTAGGTAGGGGTAGGGATGTATTTTTCAACGAATTCTGACATCCGTTAAATGCATGTCGCCTGGGTTTTTTTAAAAAATTTATTGTTAAGGACAAAAAATTCTTACGGCATTTTTTCTATTTGTATACTTAAAGATTTTTGGAGGACGTTTAGGTTAGAATACGTTTTATTTAACTACAATTTTAAAATATTTTCACATTTAATTTTTAATAGACTATATTTCTTTTAAAACAAGTAAATGTACTAGAATTACTTACAGTATATAAAATTATTTTTTCATATCAAGTACAAGTATGTATATTACCAGGTCACATTTTTGTAAAAATTTTATTTTTAAATATTATTTAAGAAAAAATTATGACAATGACGGCAAAAAATAGCTAATTCATTTCTCTGATCCAGTAAGCTTTTATTTTTTATAAACTTAGTAATATATAGTTTCTCATGTATGTACAAAAGACATGGGTCATTTAATGACCTACATATTCTAGCTTTTCTTATTAACTTCCATTTTACTGTAGGTGTTTTATCGGATTCTTTTAGGTGCAAGAAGTACTTTGAGAGAGATGTTTGATTTCTATATTTATTCATCCTAAATGAACTTTGATGTTGGTTGAAGCGTTTTTTGAACTCATGGCTTGTGTAACCTATATAGATTTCTTATGTTTTCAGGATTTTCAATAGAAGAGATATTGCATTGCTAATGATTCCGTGCGGCATTTATTTTGTAGCGGACAGTTGTGAGGGTTTCTACAGTTACATAATTTTTGTTTATCTTCATCTGTTTTTATTTTTATTTTTCCATTGGCTAAATTTTTTTGTTTCTGGTATAAGTGTTTATTTAAGATATTATCATTGTTTCTTAATAATTTTTTCTAAGTTTTCAGTACAGCTGTAACTTAATTTGAGTGTATTTTTGTTGAAAATATACTTAGTTTACTTTCACTAGGAAAATGCTTGACTATTAATGCGATGAATTTTTGTCCTAATTTGTTCTTTACCATTTGGTTGTATGTGGGTGCATACAAAATTGTTTTTCTACTTCTGTTTTTTTTATGCTTTCCCTTTCCATTTTTTATATCAGCTAGTTTTGGGCTTTTGTAGCCACTATCTTTTAGAGTTTTATTATAGAAATTAATATGTTCATCGAAAATCCTGTCATTTCCTGAATTTGTAATTTTTCGGATAGATAAAGGTATATGATGGATGCGAGGGGGGGGTGATTTGATTTATGGTTTATATATAAAGGATTGCTATTGTTTTTTTTTATAAGGCGTGTATGTATTTTTCTTTAAATCTAATATTATATCAAAGAAGTTAACTTTTTTTAATTGAGTACTAACCGTAATTTTTAAGTTCATGCTTTTAAATTCTTTATATAATAACTTTCTAATTTTATCTATTTTAAAGTTAGTAGAGTTTCTAATAACCATAAGACCATCGTCTCTGTATAAACCAATGTCGGTTATATTAATATCACATAAAAGGACCTATGAGATCAGAACACTCTGCTGAATCTAGTGATCCCATTGTGATGTCAAACTGGTCAAATGAATTTTTATCCATTGCTCACCTTTATGAATCAGTAGCAATTTTTTTGCATTTATAATAATCCGTGTACATACATATATATATATATATATATATATATATATATATATATATATATATATATATATATATATATATGAATAAAGTGTGTATGAATCGATATTGTGTCTAATGCAGATCTCGCAAAATTGGTAGAATTGAGACCTTCCTGGTACAGTCGCAACTTCGCTTGGTTGGTCATGTTGCAAGGATTAGTCACGATCAAATATCTAAGGTCCTAATCATGTATAGCCATCTTGACAATGGGGAAAGGGCTGTTTGACGACCGTGGCTCAGGTTTAAAGACAAACTAACGCTCTTACTGTCAATGAGCCTTATACTAACTTCGAGCAAGTTACCCTAGATAGAAATAACTGGAGATATTTGTGCTAGATTGGTATCAGAAGTTTCAAAATCAGAGATGAATCCCAACAGTGAAAAGTAAATATTCCTGTGGCAATATCCCTAGATTCTCTCTGTTACACAATATGTGGACTTGTATGCAAATCACTAGCGGAACTGAAGTTCCATATGCAACACATATATAAATACTGAATGAGGTTGTCAGATTATTATAGGTCGAAATCCACGTGAGAGTCCATCGTCATATATATGAAATAATGCCTTTTTTATTTATTAATGCGACATATTTGAAATCCAGTATGGATATCCACCAAGAATAACGTTTAACGCTTATTTTAGTTGATATCTATTTTTGAATAGACGCTCCGTCTATTTCTTATATAGTTATATTTAATTATTTTTGTCTATCATCGTGAATATTCAAGATATCTCATAAAAGAAAGTTGCATCCACCCTTGGACAGGAATCGAACCTGTTTTCACAGGAGAAACCGTCGTTAGATAAGACAGGCTCGAGAAGAAAAGGCTTGCTGATCAAGCAAGTCCAAATAGTGGCTTATAATCGCAAATCCATCTCGTCCCAGATTGAAGAGAATGGAATCACTTGCTGTTGTTCCCAAGTTCACCTTGAACCGAGTTGGTAGCACGTGTAAGCCCCTCAGCTATGGAAAAATAGTGAACCCCCAAACAAAAACCAAACATTAAGAATATATAAAAGTAAATGTTTATATGAAAAATGTCTGGGTATGACGATAAACTAGTTGACGGCATGCAATTGCGTTCAAAATATATTTAGTTGAAGGCATAACATTGTGTTCCAAATATTTAGATTTTGGCATAGAGGTTGATAAGACCTCTAAAGAAAGCAAAATGATGAACAATGCATTTTATCTGTAGTTGAAGGCATGCAATTACGTTCACATAATATTTCGTTGAAGCCATAAAGTTATGTTCAAAATATTTAGATTTCGGCATTAAATAAAACATAGAGGTCGATAAGGCCGCTAAACAAAATTACGAAAACCAAAACAAACAATCTTGGGGAAAAATGATTTCAAATATTCTACATGATAATTAAATCTACTTTGTATCGACGACAGATACGCATCGCAAAATGAATTTACCTCTATAATAAGAAATGATTGATCATGAAGTGTACGATGTTTGTTTTCTATCTCATTTCCATTAATTCGTGCTTTATCTATCGCCATGACAAGATAGCGAGTCCTTTGACGTAAAATCAGGATTAATTCTTTCAAAGGATTAAAAGAAACTTGCCGGAGGGATTTTGAAAAGTTCTTTTAATTAACTTTACAAACTTTGGTAAAATCATCAAAACAACTGATGAAAAAAGGACCGGGGTAAAAAAAAAAAAAAAAAAAAAAAAAAGAAAAAGCTCTTTCTTTGAACGGCGTAAATTATTGTTTCTTCAGAAAATTATTCTGTCTACAAAAAAGACTTCATTACCTAGGTTCTAAACGATATTTATTAGGTTTAGCACGCCACCTAAGTCGAGGGATTTACTGAGAATTGAACTCAATACAAAAAAAAATATCAGTGGGTCAAGCCCTCCAACAATGTGAGTTAAACTGCTTCGAAAAAAGAAACAACACCACATAAGGGTTAAATCTCCTGCTGGGTACCTTCAATTTCAAATGTAAATAAAATTTATGCATTGCTTTTGCGTATATAAAAATACTCAATTTTAAAAAAAAAAAAAATTTTATTAAAAAAACGTATTTTAATTACATATTTACAGCCACACACATGCAATCACAGACATACACACACACACACACACACACACACATATATATATATATATATATATATATATATAAAAAGTATTTCATCGAGTCTAGAAGAAACCTCAAAAGAATGTAGAAAGCACTGGACGGCGTTTCGTCCTATATTTGGGACTCATCAGCAGTGCGCATCCACTACCGAGAATTTGTAACCCGGACAGCTACGTTGACATAACGTCATACCATATATTTCTGCATTCTGTTGAGGTTTCTTCTAGACTCGATAATTTTTTTTCAAATCCTTCTTAATTTCTATCATATATATATATATATATAATATATATATTTCATTAAATATGGCAGACAATTTTAATTCCTTTTTTGTATTTAGTTTTTCCATGATGTTTACGTTAAAAAGTTTTCCATTAGAATATCAATCCAGAAGCAGGTGTATATAAAATTAACCCTCACGATTCTTCTTTAGAATATATTGGTGAAAGATTTATTCATGAATAACAAAAGAATCGTATTCATAACAATTCATTGAATGTATGATTTGTAATCAGAAATAATTTCAACCCCAAACTTGACCTAAAATATGCTACCAGAAAATAATTTGCATAGAGGGAAGTACATGAGAGTGTCTCTATTGCATTTTGCCAGAGCGTAAATCTCCTACAGCACATTTTTTTTTTCAATATCTTCTTGCCTAATAGAAATACATCTTTTCCAATGCAACATATAAAAATTCAGAATAAACTGAACGAAAATGATAAAATAAAACACATGCATAAATAATTTTTCACATTACAATAAAATTAATTTAAAAGAAAAAATATAATATATATATATATATATATATATATATATATATATATATATATATATATATATATATATATTATATATAGTGTGTGTGTTCTGTGTATGTTCAGTGTGTGGTAGTGATGTTTTTACCCACACACTATTAGGAACATACTAGTAGAAAACAGAAATATATTAACTGCATCCACTTGCAAAAAAAGACTAAAAATAATGGAAGCTCTAATAATAAAAAGAAAAAAGCCAACTCTTAACAATATTAACTATGAACAAAGCCACAATGTGCTAACCGTATTCGGAAACTAAAAACAGCACTACCACACACTGAACATACACAGAACACACACACTCTACTAAGCTGATAATTGAATCATCCTTGATAATGGCTAAAGGTATAGCCGAAAGCGCTCGGAAATACAGAACATTCGGACAGTTCTTACACACTTTTGTCCAGAAAAGAAAGCTCTTGTCAGAACACAAGAAAAATTAAATCTAAAAGCTCAACCGTAGTACCTTGTCTGTCGTTTTTAATGAAACATGCATAAAGGAAGGATTGCTGCCTAAATATACAAATATATATATATATATATATATATATATATATATATATATATATATGGGTGTGTGTGTGTGTGTGTAGTTAAAACTCCTAAGCCAACATACGCAACAATTACATCAAGAAATCAAAAGAAAATAGTTGAATCTGTCAATACAACATTAAAAACAATATTTCTACACGTGAAAGTATTTGACATAATTTTCAGTTGGCAATATGAATATAATAGCGTATTCTAAATTCTTATAGTTGCTAAGAGCATTTTGTTTGTTGTTACCAGTTACTCCGTTTTCAATAAATTCATTTCGTTTTTGCCTTAAAAAGTCCACATTTGACGAAACGCGTCGGCTATAACTACACTTTCCCTATTGCCTTTTTCCTTAATACACATTGTCTTTTTTTATTATATATATATATATATATATATATATATATATATATATATATATATATATATATATATATATATATCCCCTTCATTTTCATTCTGCTTCCTTATTTAGGTTCTTATCTCTCCCATTCCTTTTCTCTGATTGCTTTTCGCTCCATACGCTTTTTACCTACTGGTACTTTCACTTTTTGTCAACTTTTTCTCTCTTCATCAGTTACTTTCCTGGTACTCTCCGGGGAAGTATAAAAAATATTACACCCAAATACCAGGGGAAGTCTACTCCATTCCAGGCAGTGCCTCTCCTTCGTTAGAAGGCAGTGTTTATTGCCCGGCGCCTGAATTATCCCAAAGAGTTGATCTGCTGAGGAGTATTGTTCAATTTTCCCACGGTATTACCGTTAAACCCGCTTTACAACTTGACCTTGTATCACATTCGGGAGCGATATGAACGCGTTGAATAATAAATACTTCATTTTCTCTTCACTACTTTTCCTACTGACTTTGTTTTCTATATTCCCTTTATTTTCTACGTCTTTTTCTTTCGCGACGTTTTTATCTGCTTCCTTTTTTATCCACCATTTTCTATTTCCTTGTCTCTCGATAACTTTCATTAACTCCAAGCAACAAAATAAACGAACAAATTTTGAAACCATACTTCACAAATTGATTTATTCTGTACTTATATTTTAGAATGTCTATTTTGATGTTGTTCTAACTTGAAAAAAAAAAAAAAAAAAGAAAAGATCAGATCAAAACAAAGTTCCTTTCCTTTAAATACAACTCATCATGGAAATATGTCTTCTAGGTTCATTGAAAAAAATTAAATTAAAAAAAGTATCAATGTTTACTGCGCGACATCCTACCGTAGTGATCTGATTTACGGCAATAAAACTTTGTCAGATGTCGTGGCTTTTTTGTTCTTGTTGTCAAGTAAGCTTGATATTGACAGTCAAATTTTCTAATTACCGTGGGATTGTTGTATTTCTGAGAAGAAAACAAAATGATTTTAAAAAGCAGTCATTTGAGAAATTAAGACAATAAATGAGGTAAGTTTAAATGATTGTAAAAACAACAGAATTCAGTATTTTTTTTATTTTTTCAGTTTCCTTTTCTCTCGACTTTCCAGTCTTTAGAAATGTATTTTCTGCTTGAAGTCGTTCGATAAAACATTTGCAGGACAATTACCAAATTTTGGCTTTAGGTAAAAACAGTTGTGTGCATCCACTAAATTTCAGAAATATGTTTTCTAATTCTCATATTGAAGTTGAATGCCAAAATAGAAAAACAAAGCAAAAACATGTTACACTGAAATATAAAAAATAACAAATTTATTAGCCTACATATGAGTTTTATAATTTTATACTGTTGGGTAAAGAGATATCAGAAAATTTTCATGTTATTCGTTTTGTCATTTATGACTTCATCAAACTAAAATAATGTTTAAGTTGATGTAATTACACATCCACATGAAGGAGAGGGACCCATATATGGAAAAATTATTATTTTACTTTTTTAAATATGTTTTTCGGTGTATAGTCTAGCCAGTTTCATTTCTTTTCTTTTTGTTATTTATTAAAAAAAAGAATAAAATTGACTTAGAATTCCAGCGTTCCCTCTCCTTCATGTGCATGTGTTGACATATAAACATAAATATCACTTTAGTCATCCTCAAGGAAGAAACGTGTCATGCAAAAAAAAAAAAGAAATCACTTTGTTAATAATAATTTTTCCATATATGGGTTCCTCTCCTTCATGTGGATGTGTAATTACATCTACTTAAGCATCACTTTAGTTTGATGAAGTCATAAATGACAAAACGAATAAAATGAAAAATTTCCGATATCTCTTTACCTAACATTATACAATTATAAAAATCATGTTTTTTCTTTAAATTGTTCTGACACACAAAAATAATATATGTATAGTATATGCTGACGTGCAAGGCGACTGAGACTATAAGACAATCCCTATATTTTCAAGTCAAAATTTATCTTTCGGGCTATATCAGCCATACAAGACGCCCCTCCCCCCATCGTATTTTAAAATTTACTGAATTTATTAAATAAATTCAGTACGCATATATATTTTTTTCACTCAAATTCTCATTAAAAATGATGGTGAGATATTGTCAATTAACTTCCACAATCTACAATACCTCATGAGTGGGTGTTGTGTTTTCGGTAGGGTATTAGAGTAACCCGGATGACTTTCCCCTGATAACCATCTCTTCGTTCCAATGTTCTCGAAAGTGATCTTTAAACATCTTGTTGAAACACACATTCTGTGTTTCTTTATTCAACATCATCGACAAAAGGAGGGGAAGAACGGGTTAGCTTACTGTAAAAGATATTACATGTTAACAATTTACCATAAACCACAGGATTTAAGTTTCCCATTTTATACCTGGAGTATAGGATGTTAAAAGATCGGTATGTACGGTATATCGTTTTCTACTAAAAAGATATGTAAAGTTAAAGTTCATTGAGTAATATACCTTTCATTTATGTGTAAGAAAAATATTCCGTATTAATTTAACTTGTAGGATTAAAGATCCTGAAAAGAGATGCTTCCGAAGCAGGTCGAGATTTTAAATTGCTTTGAAGGTATTAAAGAAAAAAGTAGTGTACAAATGGATGTCAAATTGAAAAAAAAAAGAAAAGTTTTTTTCTTTCTGTTAAAGTCTCTTTTGATGTTGGGGAGTATCTAGTTTCCTCTTGCCATTGTGATGACGGGATCATTTCTAGTTTCAAAGGAAATGGTATGACTGCTGATTTCTTTTCAAAGTTTTTTTTTTTTTCATTATTATTGATTTAAGCCGATTTTGAATATCATGTGTATTGTTGGAAATGCCTTTTCTGATGCTGGTTTATAATTTCCAGTGGCTTACAAGCCGACAGTGGAAGATTCTCCGTCTATTTTAAAGAGTTATGAATTCGTGATAAATCAAGAGGCTAAAACAGGGTTCGGGAAACCTTTTGAAGAGAGCCAGCCAGAGAGTGCTATGGCCATAATATAAAATTTACTATAATAAATTTTCTCGACCTCAGACCGTTCCGTTCTGAAGGCTGCCTTCAAAGAAAAAACAACAAACTGAATTAATATCATATTATTTAAACGGGGTTCCTTATTTTACTGCAAGAATAGCAGGATAGCAACTAACACAATCAACAAAAATTCAAATACATTACTACAAATAAAATACAGTTAGAAATGGTGAATTATTTAATGAGACACTTGTTTCAATAACTTCACCACATCAGGTGAAATATTTGTCAATGACAAGAGCAAAACATCAACCAGCTATCCATCACCGGAACTTGTTCTTAAACGATTCTTGGTATATTTCCTTTTCGAAAAAAGATGTTCATATGCATATGTACTTCCAAATAACCATAATTTTTGCATGAAATGAATAGATAATTAGCGTATAGACGTTAAGCTGTCGAACCAGACAAAAATCCTTTGCAGGCCGGACGTGACCAATGGGCTGAGGATTGCCGACACCTGGGCTACAGGAATCGAATATTTGTCAAAAAACACCAGCGAAAAAATCCAAAGATCTTAATCACCAAATAAGAATGACAAAGAAAAAAAAATAGATGAGTGGACGTCATCTGAAAATTTGTCATAGAGGTAGGTACAGATTAGCTATAGTTTGGCGAAAGTTGCATCTATGGGAGAGAATGTTGATGAGTGTTGAATAGGTATTTTTCTACTAGAGCGTGAAAACAATTTTGAACACTCTTCGTGATGGTTTTGAAATCAAATTCAGCTCCACATCAGATAGAACCCATCTTGGGTATGACGATAAACTATATCCGGCAGATCGGGAGATTGGATGTTTTCCAGACCCCAGGTAGTAAAATCTGATACTTTACCAGGTATTGGAAAATTGTGAACACCCAAGCAAAAAACAACTGTACATTTCTATAATAAAATGAGCAACAATCGATTTTTATAACAAAATGACAATCAATGCAACACTAAAAAGAATATAAAATACATTTTTATAGTAAAATTACCAACAATATATTTTATGATCTACAAATTACGTATCTGAAAAAATGAACATGACTTTATCCTGAAAGTATAAAATTTGTACAAAATATCTGTAGTTGAAAGCATAAAATTACGTGTACATTTCGGCATTAAATAACCCATATAGATATTGATATGCCGCTAAAGAAAAACATCATACCAAGAATACATTTTTATAGTAAAATTACCAACAATACATTGTTAAAGCAAAATGACCAACAATACATTTTATCTGGAGCTGAAGGCATTATTTTATTATAAAATTTATTGTTGGTAAATTTACTATAAAAAGTATTGTTGGTCATTTTGCTTTAAAACTGTATTGTTGATTGGTTGATTTTGCTTAGCGGTATATCAACATCTTTATGGGTTATTTACTGCCAAAATCTAAATATTTTGAAAGTAATTTTATGGCTTCAACTAAATATATTGAAAGGGTCCCTAGTAACCCATACCTTAAAGAAATACAAGAAATTGGTCGCACAAGCAAAGCTCACACTTTACGAGAGTCTTTACCTAAAGTAAATTTTCTGCAATTTTAGGTTGTATTATTTATTTTACAAAAATGTTCAAATGTCATGATGCCATTTCAGACCTTAGGTTTCTGGTTGGGGTCCGGAGATAAATGAGTATAAAAGGGAAATACTACTACTACAACTACTACTACTAATAATAATAATAAACCTGTACTCATCAATGGTTACGTAATGCAGGGTTAAAAGCTGAAACCGAAGGTTTTGTTTTTCAGCATTTGACTAACGGTTCCTAACTAGAACTTGCCAAGCAGAAATACTGAAAAATTGCGTTAACCCGAAACGCAGATTCTGTGATAAATATCCAGAAATAATTGACTATCTTGTATTAGTTTGCATAGTGTTAGCACCCACTGAATATAAAACTCGGCATGATCAAATGGGTCAATATCTGCATGGAAAATAGGGAACTTTTATGGGAAGGAATGTGCAAGAAACTGGTATAAACACCACCCAGTCCCGGCTACAGACAAACGACCTGCAATAATCTTATGGGATTTTACAATGCATACTGATAGAACAATCAAATCTAATCGCCCAGACATCGTAAACAAAGATTACAAAAACAATATGTGCTATCTTATTGATATGGCATCCCCTGTAGATTTTAATGTATCGTTGAAGATCTTCAAATAACAATAAAAATACAAGGCTCTTGAAGTGGAAATCTCAAAA